TCAGTGCCGTTGTAGCCATGGCTGCGCGGGGCCAGTGGTGGTCTGGCTCTGGCCTGACCCGGGATGTTGAGGGATCCCCGCGGGTTTCTCTGCAGTTCCGTGGGGACTTCCATGGGCGAGGGAATCTGCAAAACACCACGGAAGGAGAGGTCCCCTTGTGTCCTTTCGACCAAGGTCCAATCCCCGTCATCCCAGACTATGAGGAAACTGTCTCCGCTTCTAATGTCCATGCTGTCCGGGAGGGGTTGCTCAACGCCTGGCGCCCTTGACGGACCTTCGTCCACTTCTATGAGCCAGGCTCTTGGCAGCAGGGAGATCGTCAGGTCCCACTTTTGACGGTCGCAGCTGGCGAAGTCCCCGAGTGGGGTCGCCAGGAGGGACACTCCCTCTGGTAGGAACAAGGTTTGTCCTGCGGTGTTGGTTGGGTCGAGGAGGACTTGCGGGTATGTCCCCTGGGCCACGAACGGCCGCCCTCCGCGGGATGCCAGGATAACCCGCATATCCCATCGTCCGTTTCCCCGGTAGAGGCAGAGCAGATTGTTATTGCGCCTCAGGGGAAAGGTGGGGAGGGTTGGTGGTGTCCCCGATTCCAGCCACGTCACGAGGGCTTTGTGTGGCCGGAGGTGAAGCCTCTGTCTGTACTGTCGGGGTGCTCCCCGGTCCTGCTGGCTTAGTGTTCTGCCGCGCCGCACGTGCTCGTTGGTAGTTGCCCCCGGATCCTGTGGCTGTGGCTGTGGCTGTGGCCGGTTCTTCCAGGTGAGGTGCTCTGGTTTAGTCCAGCCGCGTTGCTGGAAAGCGGCTTGCACAGCCGATTTGTGCTCCTTATTCCTTGTTCTCTGTTCTCCTCTCCCTTCTGGCCATCTGCTTTGCCTGTCCGCGCGGCCCGGGCTTGCCTGCTCTGGCCCTACTCCGCCGTCATGCGCTGGGTCCCCCGCTGTGCTAGCCGTGGCTGTGGGCCCTGTGGTTGTGCGGGGTCGTGCGCGCTGGAATCGGCTATGGTTGGGTGTCGGGTGGATCGGCCCCGGCCTTGGCTGTGCCCCCGTGTTGGAGCTTCCCACTGCGGTGCTTCCCTGCTGTGGCGTGCCAGGCGCAGCAGACTGCTGCTGGTCGGTAGCTCCTTGGGCCGGTCGGGCCCCCGTATCACGAGGGGCGTGCGGTGTGCTGTGAGTGGGTTGCTGTGATCGAAGGGTCCAAGGCGACCACCAGCCACCCGGCCGGCCCACCGCAGGACAGCACACAACGGCACCATATGTCAGCTCGCGCAAGGCAGCCCAACCAACCACCACTACAGCCGAGCAAGCCGCAAGGGCCAGTCATCACCGATGTCAGCAGCAGAGCAACAGCAACCGCCCAACCAGATGCAGGACCGGAGTGCAGCCAACCCGGACGCCTCGAGACCCAAGCCACCACAACCCGACACAGAAGCCAGCGACCCGCCGACTGAGACTGGCCATGACCAGGAGGCCCAGGGCCCCACCGACACCTCACAGGCAGCCACAGCAGCGGGTTGTTCAGCTGTGCCAGTGGCTGCTGTGCTTGCTGATGGTCTGCTTCTTCTGCCTCCTCTCCTTCTGGTGCTGCCGGGTCCTTTGCTGCGGCTTGTGGTGTTGGTGGTTGGTTGGCCGCAGTTTGGCTGGAGACAGCGCCTGTGGAGAGGACGGGGTCGCCGTCCAATCTGTCCAGTGTTGCGCGGAGCTGTGTCCTGGCTGGGTCTGGGGTTGCGGTCCTTGCTGAGGCGGCACTCTGATGTGTGGCGTGTTGCTGCGCGACTGCAGGCTGCAGAGCTTGTGGCAGTGGTGAGGCAGGGTCCGGGGAGGGAGCCTTGCGAGTGGGGTAGGTCACCTGGACCGGGCTCAGTGGGGGGGCTTTGGGCACTGCTGGTGTGAGCCGTGGCGGCTGGAGTGGTGGAGCTTTCCGGGTTGCTCTGTTTATGGTCGGTCGACGAGGACGCTGAGTCGTGACCGGGCTGGGCCAGGTGGTCCTGCACGTACGTCTCGAGCTGGTGATCAGGGTTGCTGTGCTGGTGCTGGTCTCCGGTGAGGCTGGCCCAAATGGCTGCTTGGGAAGCCCCAGAGTCAAGGGGTTGGGCTGGGTCGGGTCGGCGCTGGGGATCTGGCTCGCTTCGGGGGCCTGTGGCCTGGTTGCCGATGGGGCGTCGTGGGCGGGTGCGGTGGTCTGGGCCTCTGCACCCTGCGCTGCTGCTGCTTGGGCTGCTGAGGCTGTGGTTCCGGTGGCGTGGGTCAGGGCCTGCCGTGGGACTTCCTCCTCTGACACTGAGGGCGCCGCTGCCGAGGTGCCGCTGCGGTCGGACTGGGTCCCCGCTGCTTCTGCTTGTTGTTCGACCGTCTGTGGTGGCCAGGGGGTCTCCCATGGGTCGGTGTCTGGATCATATGGTGGTGCATATCGGGGTCTTCCTAGAGTCCAGTTGGGGTGGCGGACTTGTTGCTGTGATGACGGTAGGGGTTGTGCTTGCATTCCCCGACGCCTGTCCGGCTGTGGTTCGCTGGCACGGGTCGTAGTGGGGGTGGTGATGGTGGTGGTGCCTGTGGTGGTGGTGGTGGTTGCTTGAAGTTGCTCTGCCACTTGCTGCGGAGCGTGCTCGGGACTGCCATCTGGATCGGGTTTGCCGATGTGGCGGTCACGTTCTCTCTTCGCTGGCTCCGGGTCGTGTTCGGAGCAGGCCTCATGTTCTCGTTATAGTCAGTGGTTGACTCCACACCGCTCCCCGATCCGGTCGCCGCTGCCGGGTCCTGGTCGTCGCTTGGAGAGGTAGGGGTCGCGAAGCTTCCCGGTCTTGCGGCTGGTCGTGTAGTGGGCGGGGTCCTCGTGGTACTCGCGCTCCAGGTCGTAGTCGGCGAGCTCGGCTCTGTTGCGTCAGCGGGTCGTACCGTAGCGGAGGTCCCCGTGGGCACCGTCAGGGTCGGGGGCGGTTCCGTCTCTGCTTCCATCGCCAACTCAGCGATTGGAGCCTGCGCTCGTCGAGGTAGTGCTCGCGAAGCTGCTCGTACTTGCGTCTGGTCGTGCCGATGTGGGTGTCCTCGGGGTACTGCTCGCGCCTCCTCTCGTGGTTGGCGGCGACGTCCTTCCGGTGGGTCGCGCCGTGGGAGATTCGTGGTAGAGGTCGATGTAGTCAGGGCGGCCTGCGCCTGATTAGGCTCGTGTGGCTCCCGGTCCTCGAGGCGCCTCAAGGTTGCGGTGGTCCGGGTTGAAGGCGGTCGCCAGCTCGTAGTCGTGGAGTCGGCCCCGGCCGTGGTCCCGGCGTGTGGCTTGGTTGGCCCCGGCTGGGCTGCGGAAGATGACGTTGCTTCTTGTTCTGCTGAGGTAGAGCTCGCGAAGCTTCCGGTACTTGCCGATGATCGGGCCCTTGAGGTCGTCCTCGGGGGTCTACTTTCGCCGTCGCCTGCCTCCGCCTCTGTCGTCGGTGTGCTTCCGGTGAAGCGTGTAGGGGACGGGCTCCCGGGGTCCGTGGTAGAGGTCGCTGTAGTTTCCCCCGGCCCAGGCTGGCCGTCAGGCCCGGCGCTCTCTGGTTCCCAGACTGGAGTCCTTCCAGGGACCGCCGCCGGCTCTGCACGGGGATCCCCGAGTCTCGTTGTGGCCAGGGCTAGCAAGAAGCCCGTGGCGGCTGCCCATGGCATCAGGCGGCACGCTGCCGGCATGACTCCCGGGTGTTCAGGATTACTCTGTCTCTTCGAGGCTGAGTGCTGTTGCGCATGCAAACGGCGTGCAGCAACAGCCCGGTTCCCGACTTGCCGCGCTGGTTCAGGTGACGTATATGTATATCGGAGAGAGGGAGTAGGAAGTGGAGTTGTGGAAGGGAGTATATATAAAACGGGGTACTTGGTGTCTCGTTGCTCTCCAGCTGTCTTCTCATACGTAGGGGTGGCACTTGGTGTCGGGCTCCCCTTTCAATTATCAGCTCGCCGAGCTAGGGGCACATTCCCCCGGTGATCGCCAGCAGTGCTTGGTCGGCGATCGGGACCGTGCGTGGTTGTCCCCGTGCACGTCTTTTCGGGGCGGCCGGTTTGGCCTGCTTAATGTTCATGAGCTTGGCCTGCTTCCCGGTGGCCCAGTCAACGTCTTGCTGCTCGATGAACGTGTCCGCTAGGCGCTGCCAGTGCAGGCGGTCGCATGCCTGCTGCATCCAGTCTGTCCCCGCATGTTCGGATGACTTTCCGTTCGTCGTCCAGTTGGGAATTGAATTGGTGCGGGTGCCTAGCCCCGACAACGGGTCCCAGCCGCTGCTGCTCTTGCCACCACCGCTGGTTGCGCCATTCCAGGATGTCCCTGGTGGGGCTCGGGTGGCGGGCAACGTGCCCGAGCAGTTGCCACCGCACACGCAGGATGAACGTGCTCCACCGTCCCCCGCAGCATTTGTTTCTGTAGACTTCCATCCTGGCCTCTCTCAGCGTACGCTGATTCCATGCCAGCCACGGTTCCTGTGGTCCCCGTCTACGCCCAATGATTTCACGAATATAGTGATATTGGACACTGTTTGCTGCTTTGAGGAGGTAATCAGAGATTGGCCACGTTTCGCAGGCCCACAGCGCTGCGCTCCGGATCAATGTAATCGACGACCGGAGCCGGTCGTCAAGTCTTGCTTCGCCGCATGTGAGGATCTTTTTGTTCGCGTGGTACCCCCGGCGTGCTCTATGCTGCATTTCGCAGACAAGTGCGGCTGGCTGGTTCACGAAGGTCAGCGGGGAGCCCAGGACGTGCATGATCGCACTAGGTGCATCAGCTTCAACTGTCGATAACGAAGCCTTCGCCTCCCTCCTGACTGCAGAGGACCATTGTCTTTTTTGGGTTGATCTCAAGGCCCCGTTGTCGTAGTCGTGCTTGGACGGCTTCCAGACACTTCTGGATCCAGCTGTGGCAGGAGCCCCAGACGTAGGTGTCGTCCATAAAGGCCCGGATGCCGTGTGGCGCCGGCGGGAGCTTAGGATCTGCGCTCGGCCGGGGGACTCCCCGTAGGTCTTGAGTGACCTGATCAATTGCCTCCCCTATATGCCAGCGGAGAACAAGGAGGGAGAGTCCGGCGAGCCCTGGCGGACCCCGTTGGTTTGGGAGATCGGCACGGAGGAGTCCCCGAGGACAACATTGAAGCCACGTGCCCCTATGAGCTGTAGCCAGGCGCGGGTCTCCCATGGTAGCGTGTCCCCGATCTTGGTGGTGAGGAGGTCCCCCAGGTAGGTCTGGCTGATGGAGTCGAAGGCTTTGCGCACGTCCAGTTTGATGATCCAGAACTTCTCTTGCCACTCCCTGGACTGCTGGGCCAAGCGTCGGAGGGCCAAAATGAGCTCGACGGACTGGCTTCCTGTTTTGCAGAACTGCAGGGCTCCAATGGGGCGCAGTAGGGGCAATCCCCTTCTGAGCAGCAGCTGCGCTGTGATCTTCAGAAGAATGTTGGACAGTGTAATGGGCCTGGTGTCGGCGAAGTCGTCCGGCGCTCTGGTCTTCGGGAGGAGAACGGCGATGCCCCCGTCGAGGCCAGGAGGGAAGGTCCCCTTGTAAAGGATGTCGTTAAAAAGCCACAGTAGTCTGGAGAGCCCCCTCCTTGTCAAAGAAATGTAACGCACGGCTTCGTGGCTGATTCGACCCTCCCCGGTCGCCTTGTTATTCCGCCATTTGGCCATAATTCCCCGCAGGTCGTCTTCAGTCAAGGGGTTCCAGGGCGTGTGCTTGCACTTGACAGTGAGCTTGGCGGTCAGCTGCGCGGCACAGTCCCGGACTACAGTGGGATCCTCCTTGGCAAAAATGGCCTGGAAGTGTTTCGTGAGCTGCGCTCGCCAGTCGGGTTGGTCGGTCAGCTTCTCCTCCCATTGCTTGTCCCGGCGGGTCTGGTTCTTGATCTCGCGGTACGCGTACCATGATCGCTCTCCTGCACGTCTGGCTAGGTCCTGGGCCCAGGTTTTGTGCTCCCGTTTGCGCTCTTGGTGCACTTGTTTCCAAAGCTGCCTTCGGGACGCCCCCGCGGGGGCACATTGAGCTTGCTTCCGCAGCTTCTTGATGTTCGCACTTTCTGTGAATCTCTCCCCCGGCCTGGGCATGGTGACTGCAAAGGACGCCTCCTTGAGCCCAGCATAGATGTCCCCATGCGGTGCGAGGATGTTGTGGACGTCCTTCTCAGGCATGGGAGGAAATCGCAAAGGACGGGCCCCCCATGCCGGTTGAGCAACGGGGCGGTCCCCGGAGCGCGCAATCGAAGTGCACAGTGCCACGGCTTCATGGTCCGATGCGGGGATGTCCCGGTACTCGCCAATGTGCGCTTCAAACGAGTGGGTCCCTTTCAGCGCTACGTAGTCCAAGCGGCGCGGCCGAAGTTCCGGATTGTAAGCCTCCAAACGTTGTGGAGGTAAACGAAGGTGGTGATCCAGCAACCATGTGAGCAGCAAGTCCCCTGGGCAGAGTGGGCGACCGCAAGGTGTCCCCCGGGCCTGGCGGTGAAGGTCTCGTTGGCGTCCATGCCCAAGTAAATTGGATTCTCTCGGAAGGCTGGGTGCTCCGCCAAAGCTGCCAGCTGGGCTCCCACTTGGTCGACCGTGGCATGGTGGGGCAGGTGGTAGGAGACGACTCCCGCGATGGTGTTGCCCCGGCTGACGATGCATGTGCTTACTGATGCTCGGGATGTGCTGCTACGAGTGTGGGTCCCCAGCTCTTTGCGGAAAGCCACTGCTACTCCTCTCCAGTCTCGGTCTGTTTTTCCAGACACCATTCGCCAGTGCTTGGTGGAGTCATGTGTGATCCCTTCGGGAACAACGACCTCTTGAAAGCACCAAATATCAACTTTGTCAAGGGGTGGTGATCCCCGAATCGCAGGCAATAGAACCTCCAACGTCTTAGACGGGGTGAGGCCCCCGAGATTCCAGGTTGCCACAACGAGGTCACGGGTGGGCTGTGGCTGCAATGCCCTCCGTTGTTGGTGAAACTGCCGGCGGTGTTCTTTGGATAGTCACCGCAGGGCCGCCGCAAGCGGCCGCCATGCATCTGCGATGGTGTCCCCGGTGACTCCCAGGAGCCTTGCGATCTGCCCGAGGTCGACCCATGCCCCCTCTGGCTTTGGGCCCCCGGTTGAGGAGATCTTGCGGTTGTCGTACCACACGGAGCCCGTAGCAAACTCCACGTCCAGGGCTTGGTGGGATCCCTGCTGTTCGAGAACCAGGCGCTTGACTTTCGCGGCCAACTGGGCCCTCTTCCTCCGCTCTGGCGGTTGGGACACTGCCATCCAAAGCCGGGACGGCGTCCCGTCCTCTTTTTCTCCCAAGGTAACGTTTGCGTTACGAACTCGAACGACAGCCTTCTGCACGCGGTCCCTCATCATGTACGTGTCCTCGTCGGCTCTGGTAGTCATAGGTACGATCACGTATCCTCGGCGGAGCCCCGGGACGAATGCACCTTCCATGTCCACATCGACTTGCAAATCTCGCAGGACTGTTTTCGCTTTTTCCAGCGTCGCGGCCTCCTGATCCGGGCTCCACCCTCCAACTATGAAGGCAGGTCTGCGGGGCTCCCCGGCATCACGGCGTTCGAGAGGTCCCCGGCCTTCGAGCTTGGCGAGCTTCTCTTCAAGGTGGAGGATCTTGTTTGCCAGTTGCTTGGTTTCCGCCCCGACCTGGACTATGGCAACCCCCTGCTTGTCCTGTCGGGCAGAGAGCTCTTGCATGCTGGAGAGGGCCTTGTTGAGCTGCTTGGTGACCCCGCGTTCCACGTCCTCGATGCGGCGGTTTACCTTTGTAATGGCCTCCCCGATCTCCTCCTTGATCTCGCGTGAGAGGCGGCTTTGTTGTTGGGCGAAGCCTTCGCGAAGCTCGCCTCGGAGTGCCTGTGCAATGGCTTCCACGGTCAGGGTCGGTGCCAACGCTGTCCCCACTACTCCACTGTTGGGGTCCCCGGCGCTTCGTCCTCGCTTCTGTGGTGAGTTCCCTTCTTGATCTACTGTCATGTTCCCGAAGGCCACCGGGTCGTCGGCATCCGGGATGGTCATGGCCTCCTGCGACTGAACCTGGGTTGTGCGCGCCCCCGTGTTCTGGCTGTCAGTGGTAGACATTCCAAGGATTGCCAGCTCGTTGGACTGCAGATAGCTCTCGATCACGACGGTGTTGGTCTCCCCCGCCCAGCCCTCTCCTTACGGTGGGTCGCTAGGGTGAGGTAGCGCTCCGCCCAGCCTGGAAGGTGCGCTGGATCGGCGCGGTGTGGTAGCCCACCTGTAGGCTCGCCGAGGCCCCCCGGCTCGATGTTCACACTGTCCCTAAGGTCCCGCACACACTGGCCGGTCAGGTGCAATCCCTGCGACGTCGCCGCCCCCAAAGTCGTTGGAGAAGACGCAAAGAACAGCAAGGATGTAGGGGCGGTCGCTCGTATGCAGGCTGAGGACAGTTCTCTCGCTCGGACCCCGGTTGAGACCCTCTCTCGTGTCGGGCTCGGGCCTTGAACCGCTCACGGCTTGAGCCAAAATGGCTTCTCTCTCTCTCTCTCTCTCTCTCTCTCTCTTGCGCTCTTTTCTTCTATGGGGAATCAGCTCCCGAGCCCTCCAGACACGCCGCCTTAAGCCAAGAGGACAAGGGGCCCCGTCTGGATACTCATTCGCCTGGCTGTCCTGACGACAAGCACTATGAGCCAACTCCGGGAAAGCCACTTCAAGCTCCGCCCTCCCTTGCCTCTTCGAGAGCGAAAAGAGGATTGCCGAAGCCTCAGGTTGCACCCAACATCGGCTCGCGTTCTGCAACATGCAACTGAGGCAAGCTCCTTCCTCACTTTCGTCTTCGTCTTCGATCTGCCCAAATTCCAGGGAACGCGAAAAACTAGCTTCCATGAGTAAGGGATCTGGAATTGGTTTTCTTCTCTATGTTTGCTTGAGTGGGTTTGCCAGAGAAGAGGCCTGCAAACTCACGATCGCGGCCGATCATTTCGCACGCTGCAGCCGATGCGCAAGGGTTTTTCCGGGGTTTGGTGCTCCCTCAAGCTAATGGTTTGATTTTTCTATGATGTAAAATATTTCTATCTGATATAGCATATTGTACTATAATATAGCATAATGTAATGAATAAAGGAAATCATGGAACGGACTAAAATATAGTGCAAGACATATCGTATAAGACATATCAAACGTATATATGTATAAAGTAAGATGTAATAGGCAATCGATAACGAATACCATATAATTTGTAATATATAATATACATTATAATACAATGTTATATGGCATACTATATTACAATCTCATATATTATACTACGCTACACTCTACGAAATACAATATGCTTTCATATCAATATAACTTAATATAACTTAATAAAAGATTGCATAACATACTATAACATAAGAAAAATACAACAATGACGCACCCCCCTTTTGCAAACATGATGCCTTTATGATGAGTTTTGGAAAGCTCTAAAACAGTTTTGTGTTCGATGCAAGTCTTGTTCATGGTGCGATGTTCTTGAAAGCAAGCCTGTACAGTGGGGATGGGGGGGCCGCAGCCACCCCCCTCCATTTGCAAGCACAACGTCTTTCTCACAGGTTCTGAGAGGATTCATATAGGTTCTGATTGTGCCGACAGGATGATACCTGAAGCGATATTGCACAGCTTGAAAATAACGGAGACGCACCTCCCTAATTGGAAACAGAATGCCTTGATGATGAGCTTTGCAAAGCTCCAAAACAGTTTTGTGTTTGGTGCAAGTCTTGTTGATGGTGTGATGCTCTTCAAAGCAAGCCTGCACGGCTTGAGAAGAAAGCGGAGGGGGGGTGGGGGTGGGGAAGGGCGCAGCACCCCCCATTTGCAAACACAACGTCTTGACGACGGGTTCTGAGAGGGTCCATATAGGTTCTGTCTTTGCTGGCAGGATGATACTCGAAGCGACCTTGCTCAGCTTTAAAACATGTGCGGGGGCTAGGGTGGACGCAGTCCGGCAGTATGCTTCAAGCCACGACGCTATACGAAGTCGAGAGGCCAAGAAGCGAGAGGCCGAAAAGCCAAGAAGCCAAGGAAACCAAGTAGCCAAGAAGCCATGCAAGACAAGAACGCAGTATGCTCTAGGCCACGAGGCTGCAAGAACTCGAGAGGCCAAGGCCGAAAAGCCAACAAACCGAAACCCAAGAGAGAACGTGCGCGCACCCAGACCACGTAAAAAAATATCAAAAAAATGAAGAAAAGAAATCCAAAAATCAATATGTCTCCATGAGTAACAGTCTTGGATGCGCGACCTTGCATGCCCGCTCCCTTGTGCCCCGGTACATCATGCTCACAAAGCAGACAACCTGAAGCTGGTAAATGCGCGACAACGCCTCCAATTCTCTCAGGTAGACGGCATACTCCTTTTGGCGACGATGCAAGGCACTCAGCACGCTTTCCACCTCGACCACAGGGCCAAGTGGCTCGTTCAAACTTCATAAAGACATAAAGCACGTGGGAGGAAACGTTCAGACATGACTCTGGCCAACCGAGGCGCCAGGATTACGGCCTCTTTCGCACCAACCGAGGCCAAGCGCTGCGTCATGACGAGAATCTCATCGGGGGTCACATGCCATTTATGGTCGATTCCATGTAGCCCCTGTTGGCCATCGGCTCGGGGCATGAACAATTTGTCAACCTCCTCCTTCCACTTAGATGCGACCTGCCGTTTCGGTGTCTTCTGGGGGAGATTCCTCAAAGTGCTCGTAAGGGCAACAAGCAATCGCGTTGTATCCACGGGCATGACCAACTGGTCAAACTGATCGAACCATAGCTCGGAGAACTCCTCCAAGGCCTTGCCGCGTGCGGGCTTTGCAATGGATATGCATCAACCCGCAAGCGAGAGTTAGTTGCCGCAAGAACGACACGTCATGCAGCACGAACGTAAAGCGACAGACATGCAGATCAACGAATGTTTCAGCGTGAGAAATGTTGACAACACAGCTTTCCTAATACGCTCTTGGGTTTGATCTCGACAACCGGTGAGCATGATCTGCAGCATGAGACAGACCAGGTTTGCACGTTCTCTCCACTCTCCCCTGCTACTGGCCACGACAACAAAGAAAAAACAAAAGGTTACCACAACAACCATCACTAGCACCAGCATGATAACGAAGCAGAGCCACTGAAGAGCAGTCATGAAATCACACAAAAAACTGAGGCGCCCCCAGATGCCTTGACAACTACCTGCCGCTGGTAGCTTGCCCCAAATCGAAGGATCTGCGCCCTCGCGTGTTTCACAGCGGACGCCTTACGCCAGGTGAGTAGCAGTGAACGGCAAGCTTGCTAGAAGCACAGCTTCTGCTTAACGGAGCTGAATGGCGGCTCGAGCGAAGCTTGAAGATCTGCGCAGCTTCTTCGGCTGTGAGCTCACCAGCCTGATCTTGTCGGTGGTGATTGTCCACCTTAGATACTTAAGAAGCATGTTTCACCCCTGCCGAAGCAGCTCCGGCAAGCGAGGGCAATGCTCGTCGCACGAGTTTCACACATGTGCCAATTTTAGTTCTAGTTAAACAACCAAACAAGCAAGCAAGCGAGCAAGCAAGCAGGTACACACATGCATACCTGCATACATACCCATATCCATACACATGTCACATATACAAAAGTACACACCGAAACATGCAGGCACACACGCATCTGGACATGTGTACACAATGATTTCGTGAGCCCGGTATTGATAAGTCGTCAACCCGCCATCCGGACACTGCACGCCCCGAAAGGACCGCTTGGCCGAGCGCCCCTTCCTCCGGCTTTCACCGAAACTTCTCGTGCAGCCCCTACGCGGCACGGGCACATCATGAGGCAATAGGCTTTGCCACGCGACTCTACGAAAAGCTTCTCGTCCTCGCCCTGCACAAAGAGTGGCAGAGTGCATCCAATCACTGTCCTTTTCAAATCGCCTCAGGGGCTGATGTCATTCACAGCGAGAAAGAACTACCATGCCAAGCTTCTACAAATCCACAAGTTGGAGATTGCACGGGCCTATGAGCGCCACGATCGGATTTGGCTTGCTCTTGCCCTTGTCCTTGGGCTGCTGGGTGGTCTTCGCATCACGGGTCTGGTCGTTCGAATCCTCGTCCTCCTCCACTTCCTCCCCCATTTCTTCTGCAGACGTGCGCAACATCTGAACCATAACGTGCAGCGCAAAGTACATGCAGATGCATCCCAACGCTAGAACGAGAGTTCCGGCAACCACGTACGTCACTTCGGCCGAGGGGTTGAAGATCAGCAAGACTGCAATCATGCTGAAAAGAACAAAGCGGAAGCTCAAGAGACACATCTCCATGAAGTCCAAAATCTCAGCCTGATCATTCGTGAATGGCCGGCACCAAGCTGCAATTGCCAACATCGCGCCAGAGATAAATGGGAAAAGCAAAAGCTTTGCCTTTTCATCATCTGCCAAAGATGTGAACGTCACCAAGTTCATCAAGGCTATATCGAACCGCTTGACTATAATATCCCAGTACCAAAAGCCAGGTTCGTAGCCTTCGATAAAGAAGCCGTATCTCCGACCGTTCTCAGGATTTTGCCGGTCTTTCAGCTTGTATATACGAAGGAACAACAAGACAGGAACACCAATGCACCACACGACCAGTCCAATTGAAGCGATGAGAGCCAGTTCAAAATGGTCGAAGCTCCAGCATACAACATCCGGATGTGGAAGCAAGCGCTGCTTCACTACCGTCAATCCTCGGTCGTTATCCTCGGAGAAAGGCGCACACCACACCATCTTCAGAAACTGCGACAATAGTTCCGGCCACCTTGGTGGCACGGGGCCGCAAACGCGAGCATGGAAATTGGCGTGCAACGTCCAACTTGCAACCTTATGCACCCAAGAGACATCGCCAAGAGCATCACCCAAATTACTGGCACACACTGCTGAAGCAAGTTGGAAGGTCTCGGCCACGATGTGAACAGCCCGAAATCCAAGGTGTCCTGGCAACGCATGAGATTCCCTCTGCAATCTCACCCGCATCCCCCGGCAAGTCCCCATAGTCTGTATACACGCGAACATGAAATCAGTTGCGAAGGGTTCTGGAAAGGTGCAAACCGTCGGACAACAATTCGATGACAAGTCTCCGGATCCAGCCCACTTGCAACTGGCTCAGGCGCTCGAATTTCGGTATCTTTCTCACTTCGTCGCTGCCTGCGAACCACGATGCTTCGAGGGGTGGGAACACTACAGCGACCCTCAACTCCTAGGCAGTTTGATTGATCGGCCAGCAATTGCACAACCCGTTCGCGTTGGAGAGATAGAAAGCAGTGGCCTCTGCCGAAGTTCCCAATTTACGGAATGTCCGGTGCAGTGGGACCCCCGTCTGGTCTCAAGTTCAAGTCTGCCCACACTGGAGAACCCGACATACCCCGCGGCCTTTCCAGACTTAGTCTTTCGCACGTCTTGGAAATCAGCTCGTCGAAACCCGGCTCGTCTGCCTCAGATGCGCTTTCTTCAAGAATCTGCATGGAAACTTTGTCACATGGAACTGCGGAGGAAGGATGACGCGGCATGCAGTCCAGTGGAGCGCCAAGCTGCGCTTGAAAGATAGAGCTCTTGTGCCGTGCTGAAACTGTCGCAGACCTTGGCCAGCCGGACATGGGCTCCAACACGGATGCCTAAAGCAAAAACTCAAGAGTCGGAACAGTCTTGCGATGTCTTCGTCTGGCTACAGCAACGGCATCACATCCTCATCGCGACGAGCGTGTGTCACCCAAAAGCGCTCTTTGATGGCAGCTAGATGCGCTGAAAGCAACCTGATGAAGGTGACACGTCGTCGGGAGGGAACGAAGCAGCTTCGGCGACTGCTCAATAGTGGCAGGGCTGCCCCAGGGCAATAGCGGCAGTTGGCGGACATACGCAGGACATGCTACATGAATCATGAAGATCTGTCGTTGCCACGAGGCCATTAAGACTCGCCGCTCGACAGCGCATCATGCGTGCAGCTCCGCTTGAATGACTGGTTTGCGACATATTGCTGAAACCGCGCAATGTGTCTTCTGGAAAATGCTTCACGAGTGACAAAATGAGGACAGGCAGGCCGCACCAAAGGACAGGCAACTACGAGTACGTGTAGCTTGCTGGCATGGATACGCTGGCAAAACATATGTCAGACAGCTGTCGAATCTGTTGATGAAGACCTGTTAATTACGAGAAGGATTCAAGATTGCCGTACTGGAAAGGACGCACTGGACAAAGCGATGGAACGAACAATGGATTGACACTGAGAAGGAAGGAAACGCTAGCCGAGATCAGTGAAAACATGGAGAGAACTGGGTTGTGCTAGGTTTCTAACAAAAACGCACAGGTAATCATTCGAGGTGTGGCGAAGAAGATAGGATGCGATGGTATCGCACTTTCTGAATATCCGGCTTGCCTTCATGCAGACCACAAGCAAAAGAATAAAGCACTCACATGCACGCAAGCGCAACAAGCCGCAAGGATGAGCTAAGTGACAGCAAGCGCGACGGTGCCCACATCTAATCCCCAGTCAGCCGCTCTGTGCTCCACTCGATGTCGCAGTTTCCATGCCAAGGCTCGGCGCACCTGAAACACATCGCACCACGTCTCGGATTGCCACTCCAACCACAGCCGAAGCGACACGTCCGGGCTTGCAAGCCAAGGGTCGAAAGCCTGAAGTGCTGCGGGTGGCCTCTAGCGGCTAGCGGACGGGAAAAAGGGAAACCGGCACGTTCCCAAAGCTGCTGCCCTGCTGAAGTTGCAGGTCAAGGGGCTCGCCAAGGTCTGAAAAAATGGATGAGTTTTTTCCACGCCAAGACCTCGTCAGCACAAGAGAATCAAGGCTGAGTTGAATTTTGGCCTGACTGGGAGGCACTGCTGGGCAACTGCGCGGGCGCAAGTCTCGAGACTCATGCAGTTCTGATGGCTGAATTGATGTCGTGTACATTGCTTAACTTTGCCACTGCGGATCCGCTGTACCACAAGCCGAGCGGCTTGTCAAACAAAATCTGCAGCAAACCTGAGTACAAGGTGGGGGTGTCGGGATGTGGGTCCGGGTAGGTGCAGATAAGATTGCGACAGATATTTGCCTGCGCTGTTAGCAGCCAGGCAACCGCGCTCGTCATAGCCCCTTGTACTGAAATCAGGCATCCTTTTGAACTCCTCCATTGTCATTCGAACTTCGGCACGAAGTTGCTCCTGCAGCGCGGTAGTCGTGTGTTTCAAGCCGGGGTACATGCTTGCATTCAGCGATCAGAGCACTGAAACATATAGGCGAGAGGCTTGGCGCGGATCCTGCGATGCTTTGTGGACACCTTGCAACCAGAACTTTAAACCACTAACATCCCGTCGCGTGCTTTGCATAGGGTGCGAGTCCTGACGGACCTAGTAAGAGCGACACAAAGCTTCGTCAGTATCGGCCGTTTGGCTTCGCTGCTGGAGGAGCCCCAATCGTGTGTGCCTGTGGACAAGGCAGACAGGTTAGTTCATGTAAGTTCGGATGTCTTGTTCCGGCCAGCACAGCAGGGGAGCCTGAGATGAAGCTTTCCATATGATCAATCCCATGCTCGAAGATGTTCAGCTCCACTTCATCAAGAATGCCGCAGTCCTGAAATAGCCGAACTTGACTAATGTATGCCGACTAGCACAGCAGCATGGACTTCAGTTGGAGACCGGAGCACTGCATGCTAAAAAAACCTACTTTGAATCGGTATTGCAATGCATTCGGAGGACATAGACCCCACAGAGGTCGAGTTTGGTAGCAGGTGTTTAGGAAACACATCGATGCACCCCTTGCCAATCACCAAGTGGGGACATCATCGAAGCTGTGCAGTACGTCCTGCTGATCATACATGACGTGCACCAGTTCAGTAACATCAGCAACTGCACCCAAGACCCCCTTATGACCTTATGACAGCAAACGTTAACCTTGCATCGAACGGCACGACTACATCGCTCCAGCCACGCAACAAGCAAAACGGAAAAACTGCAAAACGGAGCGACACACGAGAAAGCAAAAGCAAAATCCCTCGACACCCTGGCAGATGGTGCTGGAATGTGCTGGATGAATTGATCCCATGTCCCTGGCCATTGCCGCTCCTGCAGGTCCGCCCACACGAGACCATGCCGACGCTCTTCAGCCAATTCGTCAAAGGCTTCCCGGGCTTGTATCTTCAGTTTGTCTCGCTTCTTCTTGTCGCGCTGGAAATCGTTGAAGTAAAGTCCGGCGAAGGCCGCAACAGGCACGACCAGATAGACCATGAACGCGGCAAAGAGAAAAAGGCCAATGACTGCAAGGATGGGACTGGTCACAAAGTAGAGACCGGGGGCAGCCATCGTCCTGAAAAGTACTGGAAAAAAGATCAGCTTGGTTTGTGTCACTGGTCCGTCGTGTCTTCAGCCCGAGCATGCTCTTATCTCCAAGCGGCGCTGCCCGACTGCCCGGTAGCAGTTCCCCAGCACGACACTTCGACGCGAACTGCACCGTGGCCAACCTCGGCCTTAGTGAATCTTCGATGTAAGCTGTATAATATATAATAATTATATAGTTTATAATATATACATATATATATATATATATAGTACCCCGCAAAGATGATCATGGATCTATGCGTTCAAGCTAGCACTGTTAAACCCCTGGCACCGTGAAGCGGAAGTTGCTCTGGGCAAGCATGAATTCAAGAATGTGTGCAGGTGCGGGACATCGCAAGCCTTGACACCTGCGATGTGATTCGCAGTACTTCGAAACCAGAACAAGGTCACTCTGCGCGTCTGCCGCAGAAAAGCACCTCCTTAATGTCCGAACCGATAAACCATCCATATTCCCGGTGCCCTTTGGGATCGAACATCATGACCGAACCGTAACAACGTCCATGTTCCCAGTGCATACTTTGGGACCGAACATCCATGCCGGAACCGTAACAACGTCCATGCTCCAAGGTTTCACACGAGAAGCGCCCCAGTGTATACAAGACTCTGTTTCAGTTAGCGGGATTGCACGGTGGCGCAATCGCATCAGCTGAATGAAGCCCGGCAAGACACAAGGATTCAGCGAACATGAAGAACTACGACCTGACTTGGGTGGACCTGTTCTCGGTTGTCACGAGGGCTTCGGGTAGTGTGGCAAGCATCGCACGATGCTCTGGGCCTGCATTCTCTCTTTCGGGGCTCGAGGAAGTGTCACTGAGGCTCTCTTTTGTCTTTCTCTGTCCCTTTCTGGACTTCCTGGAGGTTCTCCTTTCGGCGTGACCGATTCCAAGTCCTACAGCGTGACGATTCCAGCACGCCGTCTGGTGAATGTCCGCAAGGACTTGCTGGCTGCAGGCATAGATGCCTAGGGCATTGCCTGCGGATGCCTGCTGCAGGTTTTGCTCGTAGCGTTCGTCTTTACGGCCACTTGAGGACACAAAGCCACGGCTGCTTCCGTGGTGCCTTGCCTCGTGGGTGCCCCCCTGTGCGTCCACACACTGACAGTTGATATGGCAGATCTGGCTTGAAACATAGGCCACGGAGGTGGCATTAGCACCTTGTCAAACGGCAAAACCCTGACTTATCATAGCGGCCATAGCGCCACAATAACCGGCTTAAGCTGCCTCACGCGTACTCAGCGTCGTCGATTCTTCTTGGGCTTTCGGCTCTTCGAAACCTCTTCACGGCTGCCTTCCACCGCGCTCGGGCCACTCATCGAACTTGCTCTTGTAGCGCTGGAGAGAGATGCCCGCAGAGGCAAGCCGGTCTATCTCTCTTGCTTGCTTGCTGGCTAGGGCCTAGGGGTCTTGGGGGAAAAGCCCCTGCCCCAAGGCCTACCAGCGGTCCGCGCCAGTTCGAGGTTCCCTGAATCTGCCTGTGTGACCCCCGCCCCGAAGCACGCCCCGCCTACACCATGACACGCTGCAATACCCCATCTCAGGCATCAGTCAGGGACTCACGGAAGGTGACACGGCGTGGAGAGCACTGGCCAAACTGAACACCAGGTCACCATGCAATAACAACCCAACACTAACCCAACTGTCCCAGTGTGCTCCTGCGCCTTTCGAGCTCTACTTTTTCTGGCGGTTGGTGGAACTGTGGCCTGTGGACTGGCTCTGCTGAGATCACGAAGTTCTCGGCAAATCGGTCAACCCCCAACAAGCCCCCTGACAGCCCTAAACAAGCTCCCAGCAAGGCTATCGGAAACTGGTCTGCTTTCTTTCCGCCAGGGTTATGATGCAGGGGCCTTACCCCCTACATCGCGCACTCTCGCGCCCCCGACAGTTGCGGAGGGCAATGGATTCCGTGCAGACCACGGCTTTGATTGCTCAAAATGGACAGAGCAATCCAAGGCATCTGGACTCAGAACAAACCAAATCGCCTCTAGGTATTAGGCGACGGTTTGTTCTGAGTCCAGATGCCTTGGACTGGTCTATCTATCTGTCTCTCGCTCTCTCTCTCTGTCCCTTCAGCTCTGCAAGAAACAAGGTGCCCGCTCGGGTCCGGACACAATGCTCATGATCGCGAAAAGGTCGGACATGGCCGAAGAGACCTCTTCCGGCCACGGAAAAGTGGCTGCCTGCCCAAGCTGCTCACACAGCGTGACAGTGAAATGATGACTACCATCACAATCATGGTGGAGATGGCGATTCTTGTGGTGGCAATGGTGATATCACAGGTGCGGACAGATCTCAACGGTTGGAATTGCTGCTGGCTTTTTGTTCGTGGTGGGATCGGTGCAGTAGAGTGCCAGCATGCCACAGCTGTCACGATGACCAGGCTTGGAGGCCTGCTTGCGCGAGATTCAAAAGATTTCGAAAGACACTGCGATTTCTTAAGCATGCCGCAGATTCTTCGGTGCTCCGTGGATGTGTTGTGCCGCACTTAAAGCCATGCCGTGCAGGCTCCTTGTATCTTCGCTGGCTCCCAATTCAGCACCTGGACCACCGCCCAAGACGAAACGGCCTGTAAAACCTCTTCATAACGCGCAAAATTTGGTTTCCCGATCAGTGTGCTTGGCTGCGGGCTTGTCTTGTGCCTGGGATAGAGTGCATTTTTCACAGGGCATCCTGCAAAACGGCTTTCGATGTGTGAAAGTTCGGCTGCGTAAGAGTCGCGGATTCCAAGCCGTATGTCACTACCCGCGATTATCAGAAGTTGCTCATCGTGCCCACTTCTCCACATATTTTTATGCAAGAAGTGAAAGCATGCGACTCCTTTTGAGGCGTATCTGCCTGCATGACATGAAGTGTGTCGTGTTAATGTATGCTATATATGTATGCATACATATACATATACTATATATAGATAGATAGATATTATATATATATATATATGTGTGTGTGTGTTTGTATGCATACTACCTGCCCCGAACCTACTTCTAAGCTTGCTTCATACACGAGAACCCTGAACGTAGAATTTTCAGTGACCGCGTGGCCTTCACTTTCAGGATACTTGAAGTACGTACAGGATATTAGAGACGTTGGAGATGTTATCTTCCACAACAAACCACAACAACGGAACACGCCGGACGAGCTTCGAGCATTTATCCTGCCATGGGCGGGGTCTTCCAATTGGGGTAATTATCCGTAGCAGTAACAGCCTTCCACTTGCGTTTCAAAAAGCAGCTTCACATCATGCACACAAAGTGTCTGGGAACCTACCTCTTTCTGTGCCCGTCGTTCGACCAAGAAGCTTGGCCCTTTCGTCATGCTACTGCGCCCAAACAGTGAGGATTTGCTGGGCCCTTCTCAGACTGTTTCAAGAGTGTTGGCTACACACGAGCCCCATTATGCAGGTCGCTACAACTCGTTAGTGCCCCGTGATTCTCATCCTTAACATATTCCACTCTGTGCTCCGATCCAAGCATAGTGCGAACGAATACGCCATTGGGTTCCCAGAGTCTGGGCTCCAACCCCTAGACCCTACTTCGTCTGCCTGCCAATCGTCAAATTAACGCGCTTGTATTTCAAGCCAAAACGCCTCTCGCAGGCTCCAACATGCTGAATCTTGATACCGCTCCTACCATGTTCCTAGATATTCTTGCAAGGACCGCGGCGCATCTGGATTTCAAAGGTTTCAGCATCTCTTACAGTGCCTATACTTCGATTCATTCTTACGATAACCCTCCAGTCGGCTTAAAGAGCTTAACTTCAATGCTTTACAAACGTTAGCGATGCAGGCCACTGTATTCTGTAATCTCTGTCAGAACCTCACGATGAACCCTACAGTAGCTAGTGTCCTAGTCACTGCCTGTAAGTCCCAAACACTTTTTGTCACTCGCACTCGGCAAGCAAGCGAGGTTTTGGGACTTACATGTTTGCACACTGTCGTGAGCACCAACTGCCCAATGTCTTGCGTGACTCTTACATTATATACATATCTGAAGCATGCCTCCCTGCTGTGCTACAGCACCAAAAACTCCAGTGGAATGCGTCCAAAGGAACAAACTGGTGCTGAAAATGTTCAGTGCTTGAGACCGACACTATATTCTTCTGCATGATCATCCTGACGATGAACCCTGCTCCGCTATACAAAGGTGCAGTGCAAAGCGTTTCAAACACAGATGTTGCGTTTGGGTCTGACTGTGGGTCAGGAGGAGTTGTGCAAATTCCCTGCAGGATCCTTCCCACCATTGGTGGCCCATTTCGTATACAATGCATGCACATCGAAACTCTTACCTCCTTAGACCCGTTCAGTCGCCCCTGTGGCCGTACTATTATGTGACATTTGCACATAAGAATGGCTAGAACGCCAAAGAAAATCTAATCCACATGGCCACCCTGTGTTTACCGATAGATGTAGGATAGAAAGATGTCCAACTATGAATTTTGTGCTGAAGAATAAAGTGCTTACACTTTACAAAGTCACTGGGATGCCATGGAAAGCCTTGTGGTTGATCTTTGTTCTTCAATCCTCGACTAACATCCCAATTGAAATTCAATCGGGACGATTGAAGTTCAATGGAGAGCCGGGTCCACAGTTGAAGAAGCTCACGCGAAAAGTTTTTCGGGCATGAATAAATTTCAATCGGAGCCTAGTCTGCCAACCAAGGGAGCAGCGCAAGAGCACAACGTGCTGAATCTGGAGGACTTCCATGTATGAATGCGTGCGTTCGTGCATGCGTGCATCTGTCATGTATCCATCTGCCTGTCTCTCTGTTTAGCCGTCTGTCTCTGTCAAGCCATCTATCTAGCTATCTATCTGTCTAACCTATCTATCCACCTATCTATGCATGGATTTGTGTCAGCGTATGTGTAGCATGCATGTCTGTCTGTCTGTCTCTCTGTCTCTTGCTTGCATACAAGGGGGCAAGCCCCCCGCGCGCGGGCGCGCACCAAGCGTCCATGTCTGTCCAATACGCCCCCTTCCCGATGAGGCGCAGTTGCTCTCACGAAACCCCCTGTACGCTACCTAGGTAACCATCCCCCGCGCCCCATCATTCCCCCGTTTTGGGGGGGTGGGCTGTCCTCCCTTTGGTCGGAGGTCTGTGCTGGCTGTCTGCTGCATGCGTCGTGTGGGTTCTCCGCTCAAAAACATCATGCTCAAAGCAACACTGCTGCACAACTACCGTTTTACCCCCACACACGCTGCACTCTGAGGCTCCGACCGACGGGTCACACTGTGTTACGCAACTGCCTGCTCCCCTAGCCTGCCTGCCGAGCCTACGACTGCCCTAACTTCTGCTGCGTGAGCGTTTGGTCGTGACTACGGTTGCCTACGGGTGGTTTGGCTACTCCGGCTGGCCCGCATGTACAACAAAAGCTCACTGCAACGCTCATCCCATGCATGGGTCCCCCGGATGCCAGAAGCCCCCGCTGCGATTGTACAGTACTGCGCGCATGCGTCTACGCCCATGGCTTGCGTTCGACCTTTCCCCCTCACTGCCCTCACTGGCTTCTTTTGCTTGCGGCGGATCGTGTCCCCCTGCAGCCTCTCCTCGCGCCGCGTCTTCTCGCGCAGCTTGTTCTTGTTCTCTTTCCATGGCTTCCATCGCCATCACCGCGACCAGCTCATCATCGGTCGGTCCCCACTGACTGTCTGAAGGAGGCGCCGGCTCTTCCTCCGGCCCCCGGTCGGAGCTGGGTATGCTCCCAGACCACTGTTCCGTGTGCAGCGGCGGCACCCATGGCGTATCCATTTCCGTGGCCGGCAGAACTTCTTCGTGTCCACAGCCACGGGCTTCGTCAGGGTTGCCTCGAGGCCCCCAGCAAGGTGCGTATTGGCCCCCCTTCCGTCCCAAGCATACCGGCCAGCATGTAGCAGTTGCGCACCAGTCCCCCGTTGTCTGGGTTGGTGTCTTCGGCGGCCCCTTCATCCAGCGCCACCACGTCGGCCGGGCGGGTGACCCCCTTGTTGTGGAGGATTCGCGGAAGCTGTCCAATGCCAGCATGACAGCCTCCGCCAGAGTAGCTGCCTGATGCTGCCTGCGTGGGAGTAGCCAAGCCACCTTCCTCATCCAGTGCTTGATCATGCCCGCCGCTTGCTGCAACGGTCTTCGTCCGCTTGTAGGCTGTCTCCATGGCTCGCTTCGTCCAGCTCGTCTGCCTGAGGTGCTGGCGGTGATCCCCCTGGGCTTGCCGGAGTTGGGCTGGGTGCTGCGTTCCCCCCTGTGGGCCCCCCTGCTGCCGGTTGCTGTTCTGTGTCCTCCTGCTGGGTGCCCCCTGTGCTGCCTGCTGCCCCTTCATCCCCCGAGTAGTAGCGAGTGGGGCGCGGGATCAGGGAGAGGGCGATAGTTTCCCACTGGGTAGGTCACCCCCCTTGCTTGGGGGTGCTCTGCAAATTGGGGGGGTGTTCTGGTGGAAGCCCCAGTCGAAGAAATACTGCTGCGCCGCCCGCATTGGTGGGTTGCCAAGTAGCCAACGCTTGCCCCCGAAGGAGCGCCACCAACACGCGGGGCGGTTTAATGCCTTCGTGGCCTGGTCGGACCCCGTTGGTCTGCCTGACTGGCGTGAGCAGCAAGCCATGCCCTCGCCTCCCAAGGTTGTCCCCCGCTGTGCCACCCCCACGCGTCAAAGCCCCCCCACTTTGGCAGCCACCGTTGGCACCCCCCATGCAGTCCTTCGCGTGCCGTACCACCCGTCTCAGCACCACCAAGAGCTCTGGGGCCTGCTTGCCGCTGCATGCCCACTGGGGCGGCGCGTTCTCCTGAAGCTGCTTCCCCCCCTCAAGAGAAGGAGTTGCGAGAACCGCTTGAGGACCGCGGAACTCAGTGTGATCGGTCTGGTTTCTCCCCACGTCAAGGGCGGTCCTGTGGTTTTGGGAAGAAGCACCGTGATCCCTTAAGCACGGATTCCGGAATGTCGCCTTTGTAAAGAAAGTCGTTGAACATATGGAGCAGCCGCGCTTGCCATTGCTCGTCTTTGACCAGTAGCCAAAGGAGTTCATGCACGAGTCGGGGCCTGTCGCCTTCCCCCTTTCCCACGTGCTTGTGGCCAGCTCGAGGTCCCACCCCCGTGAACGGTCGCCACCGCGTGAGGGCCTCCCTGGTGTCCCCCCGTCTGCTGAAGGCTTCGAGCACGCTCTCCCCCCTCCCTGTGCTCTCCATCCCGCGCCGTCAAGGTCGGTGAAGGTCTCGTTGGCGTCCAGCCCCACTACCCGAGCTTTTGCAATGGTGGCATGGTGTTGAATGTGTCCGCTTTGTACTCTGATCCCCCGCTTGCCGTCGCTGCCTGTAAGTGCAGTGGCAATGCCCCCCGGCAGGAGGACCGTGTTGCTGTGTCGTACGCCCTGTTGTTTGTATGCAACCGCCGTGCCTCTCCAGCTCGTTCTTGCCATAGGCAATGGTCCAGCCATTGTGTTCATGAAACTGCACCCCCGGCTCCGCACTGATTTCTTGCAGCAAAAGTACCGCGAGTGTGACAGTACTGGGCCCCCCCCGAAGTGGTGGGTCAGGTCCAGCGCATTTTGCGCCGTGAGCCCCCACATTCCAGGCGGCCACTCGTTGAGTAGGAGAAAGGACCCCCCCGCTAGTGAGACTGTTGCCGTGCGCTGCCCCCAGCTCCGCTCTTTACGGAGTTCCCACACCGCCTCCACATCCTTGATGTTCTTCTTGAGCACCTTCGCCAGCAACGTGACATCGACCCAGCCTGCCCCCGCGGTGTCGGCCCCCCGCGGCTTCTCGGCGCTTGCGCTCGACACCATGGGCGTTCATCCATACTGTGCCTGTGGCAAACTCGACGTCCACGACGCTCGCGTCCCCCCTACTTCGAGGATGGTACGCTTTACTTTCCCAGCCAACTTTGCTCGACGACGACGCTCAAGCGATTGCGACATTGCAATCCATAACTTCCTCATTCCCCCCTGCTGGTCTTTCCCCGTCGTCACATTCGCACTGCAAACCCTCTGGATAACTGGCTGGATGCGGGCTCGCCGAGCGTCTTCTGTTTCGAACTGCCCGGCCTTGATCGGCAAGATAGCGTATCCCCTCCGCAGCCCAGGCACGAATTTATCTTCTGGATCCCATTGGACGTCTAGCTGCCTCAGTACATCTTTGGCTGCCTTCAGGGTGTCGTCAGCGCTCTGGTCTGGGTTCCATCCCCCCATGCTCACCGCTGGCTGGCGTGAGTTCCCCTCCGTGTCGGCTGTGCTCCCCGGTGCTGAGGACATCTGCGGGCGCTGCTCGAGCGCCTCCAGCCGTTGCTGCAGGCTCTTCTGGGCCTCTTTGACCTCCCCCAAGGCGTGGGCTTGCACATCGTAGTTGTCCGTGATCTTCCCGAGCATCGTCATGGTCTTCTCCATTTGCTGGGTCACCCCCTTTTCCACGCTGTCAACCCTGCCTTTCATCTCCAGCAGCCCCCCTTGCATCCGCTCCAGATTCTCTGCAAGGTGGTGCCTGTCTGCCTGGCGTTCTGCCGCTAGAACTTCCTTGAGCATGGTGAGGGTAAGTGGTTGTTCCTGCACTCGGCCCCGCTTCTGTGGTGAACCGTCCTGCCCCACCTCCCCCTGTGCTGTCTCCTCCATGGCCGCGGCAGCGGCCTCCTGCACATGCAAGGATCTGATTCTCGGTGCCGTGGATGTAGTGTCACGGTCAGGTAAGTGAGGTAGCCCCCCGCCCACGACGAGGAAGCGGAGAATCGGGTAAGTGACGGCCTTCACCTGTAGAATCGCCGATGCCCTCCCCGGCAAGGTTTGACAATCTCCCTAAGGAACAGCGCAAACCCCCCGTACTGGTCCGTTCACGACTATGTCGCCCTCCCCGGCGTTCGCGACGAGGTCAAGTAGAGCAACAAGGAGGTAGTGCTGGACGCGAGGGCTATCGGGGGAGACTGTGCACACTCCCTCGCGCTCACTCTGGCCCTGTTGTAGGCCTTCTGACTGTCTGCTGGGGCTCAGGCCTTGAACCGCTCACGGCCTTGAGCCAAAATGGCTACCTCTGTCTCTCTGTCTCTCTGTCTCTCTGTTTCTGTCTCGTTCCCCAGGCTTGAGGGCACGCCCCCGCGGCAGCAGTCCGTCTCATCATCAGCAAAACAAAAACCGTGGTTATCATCATCGCCATCTCTGTCGTCATCACAGCCATCAACAGCAGTGTCATCAAGAAGAAACGCGAGAACAGAAACATGCCCTCTATGTTCAACCAATACAACTTGAATACAACCACTGCCTGCCTGGGAAGTCGGTTCACAAGAAGTCGCGTTGGACTCAGCACAAGCTGCAAGCATTGCCATTTCTGCATCTTGCTGGGACCACTCGAAGCCAGGCAGTCGCTCCAGGTTGAACTGCGTGAGCACAGAGCCTGGGTCGCGAAGCCCAGCTAAAGAGCAGACATTGGTGTTGTTCGGGAAAGTTTTTTGTCACTCGTGCTCGTCAGACGGAAGGTTGCACCAGCACAGCCAAGATGCAAGCAGCCATCCACTGAGTTCCAAGACCTTCAGCAACGGCTAGCTCTGGTCCCTAAACTTGGCATGATAGTCTATGGCCATTGGAAACTATCGAGTATTCATTCAGCAATTTGAACACCTATTTTACGTGATTCATGTGAGTTCTAAAAACTGAGTAGGTGCAGAAAATAGTGGTCTACAGCCAACAGACAAGTGATCTGCTGCAGCCTGCAGAAAAATCATCTGGCGTGGGCGAGATAGTCTTCTGCAGCCAGAATTGGGGGAAACAGTGATCTGTAATTTCCTATCATTCCCAGATCACTTTTTCCGGCACTGGGATGTCAGAACCTGCAACGGTGCTTTGGGGCGATCGGGACTCGAAATAGTGATTTTGGACTGATCTTGCATCAGGAGGGTCTAGCAGCGCCAGGTAACGAGTGATCTTGATCGGAAGCACTGATTTTGGAAACAGGAAATACATATATTGAGACGATCCTGGACCGGAAATACTAATTTTCGTGATTTTGGAGTGATCCAGCACTCCGAACTGGTGATTTTGAAGTGACCCTGGACCCGCACTAATGATTTTGGATCATCCAAGAACCGAAATGGTGATTCTGAAGGGATCCTGAACCGACAAAATCTTGACGTGATCGGGATCGGGTTCGATGCTTGTGGAGCGATCTAGGACCCGAAAACATGATTTTCAGGTGATTTGGAGTTATCACCATGCAACCACACTCTCAGGCCCAGGGCCTTCGGCACTTTCGGGGTTGTGCATCACTCCATAAGCACTCTTTCGGGTCCGGGATCACTTCAAAATAACGTTTCCGGTCAAGATCAATCCGAAATCACTATTTCGGGTCCTGGGTCACTCCAACTTTTCGGTCCCAGATCACTCCAAAATCATTATTTCGTATCGCTCCAGAAACACTGTTTCTATTTCGGGACCTCATCCAACATTACTAATTCCGGGGCCATCCATCACTAGTTCCGGGACGCCCAGGCACCATTTCCGGGACCCGATCACTATTTCAAAGACCCCGGATCACTACTTCCGAGGCACCCCGATCACTTTCCGAGACACACGATATTTCCGGGACCCCCGCCATCATTAATGAATCATAATTTCCGGGACACCTGATCGCATCTACACCGCGCGGATTGCTACTTGTATTTGCTGCCTCCGGATCACTATTCTCAGAGCAATGGTTTGCTCTAGTATCACTCATTTATCAACCAAATAATTCCCAACACGCACCCCAACGCTTGCCCGACATAAGGCTAGCCCTGGATTTGTCCTCGAAGGGAACAGCTTGCAAACACGGAGTCGCAAATATGTATCTGCGGAACTTTGCTTCCGAAAGTGCGCAGAGATCAAGGTCTGAACGATGATATTGATTGAAACTGCTCCGGCCCCTCAAGATCATGAAAGACCAGTGCTGCCTGGAAACGAATCATGCTCGTGTGGAGCTTCGCACTTCCCTTCACTGCAGCTGTGGCGGCCATAGCCGCGACAACGAAGTTCAAGAACACTTTCTGGCCGATGTCGGACAGGACGGCAAACTGGGTTCAAATCGCAGGAGACAAGCAGGCAACTACACGCAGCCTAATTGAATGACGGCTGGTCACTGCTTTCACCTCTGAGACCTGCAGGGCCTGTGCATCCTGTGCAGGCATTGCTGTTCTTGCACTGGCTTACATAGCTCATCCCAATCCTCCTGATGCCACAGACAGGGCCGAGACACCGACAAGTCTCCCGCAGAATCGGGCGGACACTTGCGGCAAAGTTCTGGATAATCATCTCTGGCCCAATGGTCGGGACATTCGCCGCACAACACTCCAGTAGATCCTGCAACGAAATTCAGTCAGCTGTCTGCCCCATGCTATCTTGAACCAGCTTACAGAGCAGGCGCGCCTTCGGCACAGTCGTTTCCTCAGCCAACTTTGAAGGAACAGATGGAGCTACCACAGCACAAAGATCTCAAGAGAAGCCTGCGTAACGATTCCACCAGGAAGTGGATGCAAAGAAAGTCATGTCATGCCCGGGGTACGAGCTGATCCACCTTCGAATCCTCTCCCATCAAGCCCTACAAGTCCGAGGCTCCCAACATCCCGTTGCATGATTCCGGAACGGGAAGGTCCATGCGTTGAGCAACACAGCTGGCTCCTCCCTTGCACGCGCTGCTGCCATCCGGCAACAGAACGTCACACTCCCTCGCAGTGGATAAGCCCGCTTGGTAGAAGCCAGGCCTTGGTCGGTCAGTCGGTCAGTGGCAGTGCGCAAGCGGGCGTAAGCATGAGCCAACTTTCATCAAACCTCCAAAGTCCAAACACGACCAGACAAGAGACTCTGCAACCGGCTGTGCGTGACGACGCTCGGTACCGTTTGTCTCATTTTCGAAACCTCCACGGCAGTCAAGGCCTTGATAGTTGCAAGCAGCACAACGTGCCAGGCTCCCTTGGTCAAAGGCGTTGTCCAGGATCGCGTGGAATCGAGGGAGGCAGAAGCAGTCAGCCAGGGAAGTTGAAGCTAGATCACTGTTCGAATTGGCCGGACACTCCAATGCACAAGTTGCGTCATTCCCGACGGTGGGCTTGTAAGTACCGGCTTCGCACGCCTGGCAGCTTGTTGCACCCTTCCTATAGCCCGGCAGGCAAATGCAGTCTGTTGCAGTCCGTCCGCCCAGGGCCACCGTCGTTGAGTTCTGGGGACAGCTCACGGCTTCACCAGTGCCGGGACAATAGAATCCAATCTCACAAGAAGAGCAAAACCCGGAGCCATCAGCAAAAAGCCCAGCCTGCCAGCAGTGCAGTAAGAAGTGCTCCGAACTCTGCAAGAGTTCTTCAACGACAAAAACAAAGAACAGCTGCTAGCCAAGAACCCGTGGCCTCACATCTGCACTGCTCCAGCGATATGGCACCAACTTCTAGGGTGGATTTCTCGGAGGGGCATCGCGTGCAGGCATCCATGGATATTGCATCCTGCAGGCTTCAAAGTGATGTACTGGCGGGCGATCTCCCTGTGCCAATCTCTGTCGAAACAAGCCCAAACGCGTCTTACACACCACACCGACATATCATTCCAGACTCATACAATCACATGACATACTATCGAACTTTAGATTCCAGGGACCGGAAAGGCAACTACGGGCTCGTCGTCTCACACAGGGTTGTGCAAGTGAAATCGGTAGTCCTGGGTGAGTTGGGCAAGGGAAACTTCGGCACTGGCTCTGGGGCTCTTGGTCTCTTACGGATCTTCCGCCGCACCCGACCACAAGAATTAGAGCTGTACCAAAAACCCAGGGGCGTGTCCCGCATCGGCGCGGGAACCCACTCAGAAGTTTGCCGGACGATGCGTCCTTTCTACGGGTCGGCGAGCGGCCTGTTTCGCGAGAACGCTCACGCGAAAAAATGCTTTGTAATCTGGTTAAGCTTCTCAAACCTCAGCTGGAACAAAACATTTCCACTGACAAGGCGGCTGCAAAAATCTTCAGCTGCTCGGGCCGCGGGCAGTTTGGCCATGACTAGGTTCCGTGGCACTGCAGCCTTCGGTTCGCTGTTAGAGCTTTCTTTCCATACTAGACATGATGACGTGACAAGGATGCTACACCCGACGTCGAGGTGTGGACTATCCCGCCCTTTGTGCCGACGCCCTACGTTGCGCAGTTTGGCCCGGACTCCAGTCGTGAAGAAGCTCGAAACAGGGCGAAAGGCCGCGCAAAGACTTGCCCACTGCCACCGGATGTGCCGACGGGTCGGACCCATGGATCAAAGATGGCTGGGTCTGCGCTTTGCGTTTTAGCTTATGAGTTCGACTCTCCGACCTTGCATACCCTCGTACAACATGAAGAAGCTGCCAAGCTGCTGCGACACAGGTCACATCAAAGCAAGCGACGTGCTCTCGACCCTGAGCATGCCGGAAAGAAAGATAAAGAAAGCGTCCTTGTACTCGCCCCTCGCACATGGTTCACAGCCCTGAGCTGCAGTGTCGTAGGTGTATCCAGGACTGCACTGGCAATCGTCCGCGCTGAGAACGGGCACACCTGGCAGTTGGGCAACCCGGCTGTTGACGTGTGCAACAGGACCGCCCATAAACATCTGCTACCAAAGCGCCTGGCGGAACTGACATCCGAGGCGAACAGCTGACAACTGTGGAAGAAACCGCTGGTGCCGACTCAACTTCCAACGATATGCCCGCGCCACTGAGGGTCCTTGGTTGCCACAACGAAATTTCGGAACTTTCCACTTTCGGCTACACAGCTCATTCTAGCAACATTGCCGGGTGCATGTGAACTGCCGGCAACGACATCACTCATGCAGCCCAACTGTTGCGGAGACGCTTTATTAGTTATTAGCAGCGCACTTCTAAACACACGAGATGCACGTCCGATTGAACATATCTGTCCTTTTGAATCGGAGCTGCCTTACGCGGCAAACAAGCCACTTCGGCGATCCTAGGCTCATCCTGACGGCCAAACGACTAGGCAGAGACCTCCTGGAGATATAGAAGCGAGGAAGGACTGATGTTGCATGTTCCTGCACCTCCTGGGGGTAAGTCTACAGCGAAAAGGAGTGCCTTGAAGCCCTTATTCCAACGAAGGAGGGCTTCTTGGAAAGAGCCTCTGATTAGGGCATAGATCATGGAATGAGAACATGGCAAACGAAGCACTCTCAGGCTCCAACATGATGGCGGTGTGTGGCACCTATGCCTCGTGTGAGATGACGACCCCCGTAGACATCCATGGGCAGGGACTCTGCGCGGAGTTTCAAACAGGGCCGGAAGAAGAAATATGAAGCAACGTGTGGGTCCAAAAAGATAAAGGCTATCCCACCGGCAGGCTCGCCTGTGATAGTAAACCTCAGCTTATGAGCGGCCAGCCACTGGAACTAAATGCAATGAGGGTCGGATTCTGCTGAACGGCGGCGGCCACTTCGTTCGTGACCGTAACAGCCTGGACTGCAATCTCTGAAAACTCACGGAGCATGACGAGATGCTGATGCTTACCACGAGCCCTGCCAGCAAAAGCATCAGACAGAACATCATTTTTTGGGAACGCGCAGCTTCAGGCAATGGCGGCTGGTGGCACAGCCGAGTTGCATCCATGTCGGCGGCGATCGCACTCGCCTCGTCGGCAGTCCGCTGTTTGATCGTAATAACGATCATCGATGCATCGAAAAGCCGTCTCAGCCGTCTTCCAGCCAGACCAAGACCTACGAAGTCCTGAGCTGACGAGTCTTACTTCTGGGCGATTCTTCTCACGCTCAACATCGGGCCTTTACCCCGTGGACCCAATCCCAGATTTGCTAGTGGTATCAAGGACTGCTTTCACAGCAATACGAGCCATGTGCAAGTTGCGATCACCAAACTTGATTTTAAAATTCAGTTCCTGAACGTTGCGAGCAACCTTGAACAACTACAGTACGGGCTGCACACCTGCACTCACAGAATGCCAGCGAGCATGTCACACAAAGGAGGTCAAGTCTCGATTTCTATGGCACTGGGGTCCACTCTCGCACTGGCCGAAAAGGTGGCCAGAAACATTGCCTCAGAATGGAAGTGCCATATGTTAAAGCAAGCCACACATGCCCGACACTTGACTCTGTTCCTTGTAGTCTTGTTGGGCGAGGCGCTACCAACTGGTTCCTGATGCTCTCGAGATCTGCATCAGCCGGGAGGTTTCCGAAGGACATGTTGAATGATACCGCTGGAACTTCTGAGGAGTTCGACAGTGTAGCTCCAGAGCTTCCCGATCCTCCATCACCAGAGGAATCCACTTCAGGTATACATGATGATGCGGCTACCGCTCCGGTGCCGAAGGTGGTGTTGCCAGCAGGACACGACGTGCATGCGTCCCCATTGCCGGCATTCTCCTTGTAGGAGCCTTTGGGGCAATCTGTGCAACTGCTGGAGGTGGCGACAAAATAGTAACCTCGATCGCACACGCACTCGGCACTGGAAACCTCAGATGCTGATGCAGGTAATGGCAAACAGCAACGGTTGTTGGTACTTTCAGTCTTACATCTTGGCACATCTTGGTAGCTCAATCACTCCCGAGCAGTCGTAGATTTAGCTGACCAAGTCAGGCGGCAGAACCCCGACCGAAGGTGGTGTACCCTCCTGGACAGGACAGTCTTGTAGCAGTCGCTCGAGGCCCACCAGCGCAATAGTAGCCACGTGTGCAGCTTACGCACTTGCTCCCTGGCAGGGAAATCTCAGAACTCCAAAAGTCAATTGGAAAAGCTGCTGCTAGCTGTCACGGTCATTGTGTGGGGGAGTTTAAATCTTTCTCTGGCTCTCGCACTTCATCTTTGCCTTTGGTCTTTCGTCGGGATGAGGTCAGGTAACGGACCCTAACCCCCCGAGTTCCCGACTTACTGCTTCTGACCCTTGTCGCCTTCCACCCAGCACCCTGTCTTAGATTCCACGCGACAGCTTGGAAACAAGAACGACCAAAACAATCCCACGGAACCAGCCTGAGGCAGGACCTGTTGCAAAGGTGCCTGCTGGGCAGTTGACCTGGAGATAGCCCGCAGGAGCTCGGAATGCCAATGTTGAAGTGCAGTCCGCAGCCAGCGGGCACCAGCATACTCGGTAGAAGCCTGGTACGGCTTCTGCAGGTAGCTCCCCTAGATTTACCCGCAGCCCCATGCTCGAGTCCTCCACAATCAGTGGGTCCTCCATATTGGGAAAGCCAAGGGATCCAATGCTGCTGGAATTACCGCACTCACCTGTGGCAAACAGCAGTTGATCGCCGCCCATCAGACCGATTCCGGACAACTGCACCGTGCACTGGGCACTCATCTCACAGGTGGTTGTCTGCTCAAACGGCCCACTCGCTGTCATCAGCCCGACAGCTGCCTGAAAGCTGGAAGTGGCAGTGCACACCTCGACAGGTGACGGCCTGCAAAAGCAGATTCGGAAAATCCCAGGCACTGACAGGAGGAAGCTGCTGGTCGTGGTCATGAATTCGAAACTGGAGCCGTCCTTGGTTACCATGATGCCACCACCCGGAAAGCCTGGTAATGACGTTCCTGTGCCACAGTTGGACAGAATCATCAGCCGATCTCCTCCTTCCATGCTAACTCCCCGAATGCCTGTCACAGCACAGGGCTGTCCCACGAAGCATTCGCTCTCTTGGTTTGTGCGGGGGCCTACCACCCGAAGGCGGCCAGCGAACACTCGATGGTCTTCTGGGCTTGTGCAGGCATCGGTCAAGCCGCGAGCATTTGCACACCAGCATAATGCATATCCTGTATCATCCGCGTCGATGGAAAGATGATAGCTCTTGGAAGCATCCGAGATACCAAAGCCAAGGACAAGGTGGCTTGTGTTGACGGCCTCTGGAGCCGACAGATTGCCTTGACCATCACGGTTCTCTGAAGACAGTGCAAGCCCTGTTAGTCCGCATTGGTCACGCTGAACGACGACAGAATCACTGTCAGACAGACCAAAACCGAGAAAAGGTGCCAAATTGGCACAGTCGCGGCCACGAATGCATTGCAACAGATTTTGACTGGGACCGATGACATGGAGTTGCCCGGCTGATATCAAATAGTTGCTGTTCAAGTCTTCGCAAGAAAGTGCCGCCATGTTCGCACACCAGCACATGTTGTAGTAGCCTCCCTGGGGCGCAAAATCGTCGGGACTATCTCCCAGCACATATTGGCTGCCACCAGAGATGGCCAGGTCTGAGATTCCCCCGCCTTCTATGTTCGGCACTGCCACCTTTGCGGAACTGCAGTCTGTTGAAGCCAGTCCTATGCGATGCCCGTCTTGGAGGCCGAAACCCATGATCCCGTCCAGAGTGCAAGCTCTGCCAGAGATGCATTCAGCGAGTTGGTTTGGGTATGGTCGGACGCAAGAGCTTTCATTTTGTGCTGCGGCCTGTAAAGTCGTGGAGCCGGCGGGGCATGAAACGCATGTGCGATCCTTGTCGGCCCCCGTTTGATCACTCCACTTGCCAATTTCGCACCTAGCACATGAGTCCATGGAAGTCGCTTCTTCATCAGGAGAATAGCGCCCCGCGGGGCAGGGCTCGCACATGCCCAAACCACCGGTGGAAAACGTTCCTTCGTCGCAGGAGTCACATTCATCCGCTCCCTCTTCGGAATATTGTCCTGCGGGGCAATCCAAGCAGGGCGAGTTCCCGATATTCTCCTTGAACTTGCCAGGAGAACATGCATCACAAGCACCACTGCCTGTGCTTGTGGACCCTTCCTCGCACAAGCAGTCAGACTGACTGCTGGCAGCGTCGCCCTGTGTCGACTGCGACGAGCCACAAGCCTGCCTGTGCTTTCCTCCGGTGCAGAAAAACCCCTGGCCGCAGGGAGCGCAGTCTGCAGGATCTTCGGGGTCTACATTGACGAATCCCGCTGAGCAGGTGCAAGCCGCATAGGAAATTGCACCTTGCTGAAGCGTAGTCAAGGGCAACCCCTTGGACGGGCAAGCAGTACAACTCGAATCCCCAACGAACGATTTGTATGTGCCGATAGGGCAACTGGTGCAACCATTAAGCAAGCCTGTGCTCCCAGTAACGGCAGGCTGCGTCCCGTGTGGGCACTGGCAATCGGCCAAGCCTGTGACATAAGACCCTGCCTTGATACCCAAACCGTCGGGGCATTGAAGCACTGTGCGCTGGACAAGTGTTTCATTGCCAGCCACTGCAGATGCTAGCACCGTGCCCTCCATGTCGGAGTACACCCACGCAGAGAAGGACACAGGCTCCAGTCTACCTCTCATGATTTCCGCCAGCTCGTCGTCCGGGCTCAAGACTTCGTAATCGACGTACCAATTTCCAGCCTGACGGCTTTGCAAGCTGAAAGACGCACGTGCACCATTCAACTCCAGTAGATCGGACAACTCAGTCCTGATGCTCTCAAGCAGCTCATCAGTCGATGCATCCAGCACTTGTACGGATCCGGAGAAGGTGTACAAATCAGACTGGCTGGCAGCGAAGGCTGAACCGTTACTGAAGTTATCAGCCAGATCGAGCAAATCAACACAATCAAAGCCCTCCGGAGTCGGGTCAACGTCTACAGCACTTCCGGCACAAAAACACTCCGCAATGCTGGCCGCCCCGCTGTTTGACGATGTCTGGGGCGGACACTCTTCAGCACAGGCTGTTAACCTGCCAGTCACGTTCTGGAAAACTCCGTAAGGGCAAGCGAAGCAAGCGCCCAGCTGACCATTCCAGAAATAGCCGCGACGGCAGACGCATTCCTCCAGACTCCCAGCTCCAGGCAAACTCGTCATTCCGGCAGGGCATTTCTGTATCTCGGCCGGATAGCCACCGACACAGTAATATCCCGGAGGGCACTGGTGACAAACAACTGTTGCACTTTGCAGCTCATACCAGCCAGGAGGGCATTCAACGTAAAGCACCATGGCGTAGACGCGAAAGGCGGAAGCTTCCGTGCATGCTGAGCCACCTGCACACCAGCAAATCCAGAGCTGCTCGGGCCTGGAAGCCTGGAGCTGCAAGTCTCCCAGGTTGTAGAAATAGCTGCCATCTGTGGCAGAAGACGATGAGACAGGCTGTGGCTGAGGAAAAGTGATGGTCGTGTTTGCACTTCCACAGTCTGCCACAGCAAGTAAGAGATTCTGTGAGGAGAGGCCAATTCCGCGTAAGCTTGTCACAAGGCACGGAGCTCCAAAGGAACAATGCAGCTCTTGGCCAGCATACGGTCCCACCGAGCGGAAAAGGCCAACTGTAACATTGAAGTCGGGCCCGCTGTCACAGTACAAGGACAGCGACGGCTCTGGACGACACCAGCACAGCCGGAAAATGCCCGGTGATGACATCAAGTACTGGCCGTTCTCATCCAAAGACGCACTGCTGTTAAAGCTATAAACGGTGCCCTCTGCTGTCTCTGCATACCCCGGAAAGGGCAAGCCTTCGAGAAAATCTCCCTCACCGCATTGCTCCAGCACAGAAATTCGATCTCCTCCCGACAAACCCAGGCTTTCTGTGTTGAAGGTAACAATGCACCCCTGGCCCTGGTCGCACTCTGCCTCTTCTCCGGTAGGCGGCCCGTGAACCTCAAACCAGGCCACTTGTGCTTCAAGGTAATCTGTGGCAGAATCGACGTTTTCGACGGTCATGCTGGCACAGCTCTGGCCGACAGATGAGCACCAGCACAAGGCATACTCCGCAGACGCCTGGACAACTGGAAAGGAAGATGACAGATACAACTCCACCTCTCCACTGTCGGTGTTGTTCTCTGCCCTGACATCCAACTTCAACCCAAAAAACTTCGCTTGATCCAGAGTGCAGGCCACGCGGATGTGGACAAGGTCTTCGGCTGTCAGCCCGAGACCAAGTACAGGACCCTGATTGCGGCAAATGTGGCCTTTGGTGCAGGCGAATCTCTGGTTGCCGTACGGGCCAAGCACCGTGATTGCGCCTACATCTGTTGCGAAGTTGTCGAAGTTGTCCTCACAAGTGGTCCCACCAACACCTCCACACCAGCAAAGCCGGTATTGCCCTGGTGATGCCGCGAGTTGCCCGGACCAGGTGTACGTTGTCTTGCCCGTGGACGAAATCGACTTCTCCCCAAAACCAGCAACTGCACTTGTGTCCGGAAGCTCCACAGGATCTTCTAGTCTGCGTGGAAAACTGCCGTAGCCGTCACCAGGACCTGACCCGGGTCCATCACCTGGCCCGCCGTAACCACCGCCAGGACCTGGCCCATCACCCGGCCCGTCACCCGGCCCCGGCCCGTCATCTGGCCCGTCACCCGGCCCGTCACCCGGCCCGTCACCCGGCCCGTCATCTGGCCCGTCAACCGGGCCGTCACCTGGCCCGTCACCTGGCCCACCAACGCCACCATTGCCACCCGTTGCATTGACATCTGTCCCATTGCCATCTGATCCATTGCCTGGCCCGTCGCCGGGCCCACCGTCACCAACGCCTGATCCATTGCCTGGCCCGTCGCCTGGCCCACCGTCACCAACGCCACCATTGCCATCCGTTCCATTGACATCTGTCCCATTGCCATCTGATCCATTGCCTGGCCCGTCGCCTGGCCCACCGTCACCAACGCCACCATTGCCACCCGTTGCATTGACATCTGTCCCATTGCCATCTGATCCATTGCCTGGCCCGTCGCCTGGCCCATCGTCACCAACGCCATTATTACCATCCGTTCCATTGACATCTGTCCCATTGCCGTCTGATGAATTGCCGCCGCCTGGCCCACTGCCATCACCATCTCCACTTGCATTGACATCCGTTCCGCTTCCGTCTGTTGCATTACCATCTGACCCATTGACTGGCCCGTCGCCTGACCCACCTTCAGAGCCTGTGCCGGAATCACCGCCATAACCTGGCCCACTGCCGTAAGCTTTGCCAGAACCTGACCCACTGCCATAACCACCGCCGTAACCACCGCCAGAACCTGGCCCACTGCCATCGCCACCGCCGTAAGCACCGCCAGAACCTGACCCACCGCCATAAGCACCGCCAGAACCTGACCCACCGCCATAAGCACCGCCAGAACCTGACCCACCGCCATAAGCACCGCCAGAACCTGACCCACTGCCATCGCCACCGCCGTAAGCACCGCCAGAACCTGACCCACCGCCATAAGCACCGCCAGAACCTGACCCACTGCCATAACCACCGCCGTAACCACCGCCAGAACCTGGCCCACTGCCATAGCCACCGCCGTAACCACCTCCAGAACCTGGCCCACTGCCATAGCCACCGCCGTAACCACCGCCAGAACCTGGCCCGTCACCTGGAAAGCCGCCACCACCATCGCCTCCATAACCTGGACCTGGGCCAGGATCTGGAGGATCCGGTGGATCCGGCTGTGGCACTAGACAAGCTTCCATCTTGACAGCCATTTGGTGGCTGTCAACCAGACCCACACCTTCAAACCCAGAGATGGCACAGACTTTGCCGCGAACACATTGAAACGACTGGTTGATGCCTGGCTGGATGCACATGTCGATACTCGTCGCACCATCAGAAGGGGTGGTTTTCCCGGGGCACTCCAAGCAATCGCCTTCCCATGATAAACCAGTCACGTTCGAATATGTTCCTGACGGACAAGCTATGCATTTGGCTGCATCGTTCTCAGAGCCGGCATACTTGCCCGCCTCGCACTCCGTGCAAGTTCCGTTTGAATCTGGAACATTGCCGGGAGGGCAAGGCTCGCACACGCAGTTATCACACGGCACCATCATGTGAAAGAAGTTAGGGGGGGGACCGAAATAATCAAAAGTGCTGCTCGCAGCGACCGTGCCAGATGGGCAAGCCTCGCATTCCGACTTGCCGAAGTCGAAAGTAACCGTTCCAGCCGCACAGTATTCACAGGCTGTGTGGTTCGAGTTAGAATACCTGCCAGGCGGACATTGATTGCAGTCTCCACCTGCTTCTGAAACTTCGCCGTCTGCACAGCTGGTACATGAAGTATCACTCTCTTGGTCCTTGAATGTCCCTGCCGCACAGGGTTCACAGTCGTCCTGTGCAGCGTTGGCTATATGTCCGTGATGGCAGTAATCGCATTGCTGATATCCAGCAGGAGCCACCTTACCGAGATCACATTGCGTACATTGGAAACTTCCCTCGTTCTGTGAGTATCTGCCACCTGGGCAATTGGTGCAGGAGTCATCCCCGCTCAACGAAAAGGTGCCTGGCATACAGTTCATGCAGGACATTTTAGAGAAATCCGGATATTTGCCCCTCTGGCACCGATCGCAGCTTCCTGCCCCCATATCCGCTGCAATTGTCCCGTTAGGGCAAGAGAGACACTCTTTGCGATCCGTGCTTGAATACCGTCCTGGATAACAGTCCTGACAGCCGCCACCTCCGCCATATCCTCCCTGTAACCTCCTCCCAGGACCGTATCCACCTCCGTCAAATCCTCCACCAGGACCGTATCCACCACCTGGGTCACCTCCGTCATCTCCTCCACCAGGACCGTATCCACCACCTGGGTCACCTCCGTCATCTCCTCCAGAATTGTATCCGCCGTAGCCACCAAATCCATTTGACGATGAGGTGGACTTTCCAGATGCACATAATTCGCATACAAGCCCTGCGGTGCTGTACCGGCCAGATTCGCAATCCTCGCAAGAATCGCGATTGGAGCTGGGGCCTTGACCTGCAGAACAAGGCTGGCATTGAATCGCCCCTGGCGTGAGGGCAACCCCTCTCTTGCAAGTTTTACATGCCGTGTTACCTAACGAGGCCAGGAATTTACCTGCAGGGCAGTCTTCGCAAGCTGATGCCCCTGTGCGATTGGAGAAAGTTCCCAGCGGGCATGGCGAACAGACCGCTTCAAGGGTGTGTAATCGCCACTCTCCGCCGTCATCCGCCAAATATTTACCAGCTGGACATTCTGCACAAGTCAAGGATGCAACTGCATCTGCATAAGTCCCGGCAGGACAGACCACGCAACTTCCGCCTTGCCAATATCGTCCCACACTGCCTGTGGGCAGAGGGAAAAACTAAACTGATGTTGGCCCCCCTAGCATCGCTGAACACACGAGCTGTCGCATCTCTGAGGCTGGCACATTCCACACACCTGACTGAGGTCAAGATACAATCAAGAATACGAGTCTACAATCTACAATCGTGGATTACTTAAACTTAATTAAAGCCATTTGTGCCGCCTAGGTGCTCGTTTACTACCAGCTCGTAGCCGGGACAACAGCCGGGAGGCCTCGAAGCACCGGAGCACATTGCTTCTAATCGTGCCACGCAGAACACTCAAATCAGAACACGGCCGGCAAACATTCTGAGCATCGCGCGTGCATGCCAGAGCGAGAACGCCGCAGGCATAAAACCAAAGCACACAGGTCCTAGACATCACCCGGATCTCGCGCAGCATCGCTCTTCGACGAGCTGCGCTCCCATGGCTTCTATGAGCAGCATGAGCCAAGAGCTACGGTGGGGGGTATTCGATGTTACTTCAACTGAACCTGGCGTGCTGCTTGAGCATACCAGGGAGAAGAAATTGATAGGTATCTGAGACAATGGGCAGGTGGGACGGGCGGCAGGTCGGCGAGGGGGCGCGGCGCAAATGGACATTATAGGGATGGCAAGGTCATGCACTTTGCACTTTGCCCTTTCGAGTCACGAAGACTACGGTCCTTTCAGGACAAGGGACAACGGTGGGGTGTCTTGCTGCTCGTGTGAAGCCGCCTCGAACTGTACAAAATCATCTCGCATTGAAGGCCATATTGGAAAATGTGCTACATCAGACCATGAACTATGACCAGGAAAACGCGCCATTACAAATTTGTTCAATTCATCATCCCATCGCTTGGGAGGGCGACCCGGCCGACGCTTTGGCTCACTGTTGAAATTGTGCTGCGACGTGTGGCTCAAAGTTGCCACACGTAATGGCCAGGCATTCTTGACAGTCAGGTTCATCACGAACCGGTGTTGGTTGGCATGATGGGCACTGGACCAAGGAAGCACTGGATGTTGCTGGAGAGCACACGATACCCGAGCGTTCATGCGTCGCATCGTCTCCTCCCAACTTTCATCCCCGTCACGACGCCATCCAACAATCCACCGTATCATTTTCCGTTGGCAAAAAACAAGCCATCAAGCTGTTCAAGTTGGCGTGATGTCTATGGCAAAGTAGAAAGCTCGAACAGTGCCGCAGGAGTTACCACGGCATTCAAGAGCTTCAGTCTGCCTTTGATTGGCAAATGCTTGTTCACGAGTACATGCCTCATCTTATTGAATTTGCCCCGCGCTGCACTGATGCGATGTGCCAATTCTGTTACAGACCGACGTTGAAAGTCTCCGCATACTTTCCGTCCAAGGTACCAATGTGCGTCGTTGTCACTTAGATGTCACATCATGTCACCGTCAACACCGTCAACGTCGATGAAAGAGGTCTCAGGCGAAGTGACAGTTGTGAAGATGCGAGCTTTCGCTGCATCCAACGATAAACCGACTAACGCCAACTCAACTTTCAATGACTCCAGCATGACAACAAGCTCACGCCACGACTTGGCATACAAAATTAGATCGCCAGCAAAGCGAACATTGGTCAAATTGGTGGCACCATCAAACTTGATGCCGTGGTCTCGCAAACACGCCTTCCACAGCCTGATGGCGTGTACTAACCCCGCATAAAACAAGATAGGGCTGATGATGTCACATGATGTCACCTTGCTTCATTCCGCGTTGAATTGGAAAAGCACGGCTCTCGGCGACAGACCCAATTTGTTGTGAATACAACGTCCTTAGCAAAGCGATATCATCACAGGGAACTCTTTGCTCTTGCATTGTGCGGAATAATCTTTGATGGTGGATTTGGTCAAAAGCTATACGTAAATCAATGCTCGCACACCAAACCTTGCAATCAAATTCGATGGCCTTTGCGCAAACACAGTCGAACAAACACAATGTATGATCCACGCCAGAACAGGGTCGAAAACCCTCTTGTTCCACAGATTGCTCTTGGTCTAGACTGGGCTGCAAACGTCCATGTACCTTTCTTCGCCAACATCGGAAGTACTGTATGACGCGTAGTACCGTGGGCCGCCGCTGGCCAATGGCGCTCGCTGCCCTTGCCACGACCGCGCGATGGTTGCTGCAGGCAGTGCGGCAAGCCGCGCCGGAGGCTCTTCAACTGCCGAGTTCGTGCCGCCAAGCGGCTCTTCACGCAGCCTTGGCTTGCGTCGGGAACGCCCTGCAATACTACCCGCCAGGCTGGGGGCCTTGCTCCCACTGCTGGGGCTGGTTGTGTGTTGGAGTCATCCTGGGCGGACTGTTGGTGGGAGCGTGTTGGGCGTATGGCGTATGGAGTGGCACAACGGTCTCCCTCTCCTGCGTGGACGGCTGCTGCGGAAGAGATCCTGCGCTGCGTCGCTGCCGGGGGGGAGCAGGAATTGGCGATGCTCGCCGAAGCGGCCGGGCAGTCGCCGGCAGAGCTTTTGTGCCGCGTCCTCCACACCGCCACTTCGACACACACGCCCGGCTTGCCGGCACCGCCTCCGCTGCGCGACGCACCGCCCAGTCGCAACCGTCGGCCACGGAACCCGTAGGGCGGGCACAAAAACGGCCTCAGCTGTTTGGCGGAGCTCGCTCTTAGCATGTATTGGTTGCCTTCCTCTCGCCCGACCCGCAGCCTTTTTCTTGCGATGGCGCAGTGCCGCACGTGCCGGTGCCGACAAGTGGATCCAGAAGTCGGCCGTTGCATAGCCTGCGATGCGCTCATCGGCTTGCAGGGGCTTGTGCACAGCTCCCGTCTGCCTGCTTCGGCGGACCGCCCGCTGACTTCACTCCTCTTAGGGGTGTTGTCGGCTGTGCGCTTTATGGAACAGTCAGGCCCAGACCCACAGGTGGACGCACCAGACAGACGGGAACGCAGGGAAAGCCGCGGCGACAGCCGCAGCCGCAGCCCAGCATGGACAGCACCGCCTCCGTCTGGACCCAAAGGCACTCATCACGGCAAGGGCAAGGACCGCCGCAGGAAGCCGAAAGGAAAGGGCGAAGGCAAACCCGCTGGCATGGACCGGATCGCCGAGGTAGCGGCCAAGGCAGCCGTCGCAGCAGTTCGGGCGATGCCCAGCTGAGGCGGCGCGGCAGGCAAAAGCCGAGCTTGCCGCTACAGCTTAGGATTTTTTATCAGCTATGCAGGCTACTCAGAGAGACCAGCGAGCGCACAGTACATCAGAAAAGAGACGATGCCAGCGGGAGGGGTTCGGGGTGCATGCATGCTTGTCGGCAGCGCTTGTTGTCTCATGCTTCGCATCCCGCCGCACACGCACTAGTCGCCGCTGATCCATACAGGGGCAGGCGGGTCGGAGAGGCGTCCCACCCCGGACCCGCCAACCACAGACAAGGGTCGCCCCCGGCACAACCTGCCCAGCCCCACCGGAACAGAGCTTTGGAGGCTACGAGGCCTCCAACTGGTTAGGGAGCCGCCACCCGCGTCGGACGCCGAAACGCTGTCAGACACACTCAGCGCCGCCACAGCATGCGCGTCGCCGCTACCTTCCCCACGGGATGCACCAGACGCGGCTCAACGTCGACGCGCGGTCTTCCACGCGTTGGCGCAGATGCAGCTCGCGCCAGCTTCCGCCGTGGAGACTTCTGCTGCACAGGCTCCCGGCGAGAACATGCAGCCCAGGTTGGCATGCGATGATGGTTCTCCCACACCGTTCGCATCGCCGGCTGCGAGCCCGCGCCAGTCCGGCCGACCCGGCGAGGCGGCACCAACTCTAGTTGAGGAAGCAGCTCCAGGGTTTACTCCGCCACCCTCGCCCACAGCCTGCCCCAACACACCCCCGCCAGGTGATCGCAACTCGTGGCTGTTCGTGCCGTTGCTACATGCCGCGACTGGGAACCTGAGCGAGGCAGCGTGGGCAGCGTGGCGTTCTCTGCCTCATGAAGGCGGGGCTCGGTTCGACAACCTAGTCGAGACGCTGGGCCAAGCACCGTCGGTGGAGCCGGGCAGCCTCGTGCGGCTCCTGCATGGTGTGGTGGCTTGCGAAGCCCAGGAGAATGGCGAGGCACAACCCCGCCTACCTGCAGCGGACGCGGCTTTCGCGACGTCGCTGCAGGCACTGCCAGATGCCCCCCTCCCTCTAGCGGCGGCGATGCCTTTGGCGATGGCCCCCGACGGCTACGTGTCAGCAGCTGTCCAAGCGACCTTGTTGGAAGCCTACGCTGGCGCGGCGGGGGCCGCAGCGGCCGAGACGTTCGCGGGTGACCTTCGCGCATCCCCGCCGGCTCCCGGCCCTCGCCGCCGCCAACCTCGCCGGCGCCGACCCCGCGTGCAGCCCCAGGTTGCCACCGCAGCCGAGCACTTTCACGACAGTGACAGCACACACAAGTCCCCGTGTGCCCAGCCCAAGCGCCAGCGTCTCCCGGCCAGTGGGAGCAGCTAGATGCCTTCGACCTTTCGGAAGAGTTGCGACACCCCGCGCCGACGCTGCAGGACGTGCCGCCTTTCATGCGTGGAGCGGTGCGGAACGCTTTCACACAAGCACTCAGCGAACTTCGCGCGGCTGCCGCTGCAGGCCCTCCCGCCAGCCAGGCCAATGCAGCTCGAGCGGCCCGGGCATGCAAGTTGTTCTTGCTCGTGCCGCGTATGTTGCTGACGTGTGCGGCGCAACAAGGCTCGCAAGGTCGAGCCGAACTGCTGAGCCGCGCAACGGCATTCCAGCGTGGTGAGTGGACCCAGCTCATCTGCAGTGCCAGGCCATCCCGGCACCGTTCCTCGGCCGGCAAGCAGGAGTTGCCGCCCGATGAGGTCTCAGAGCGAAAGCGGCAGCAAGCGTGCGCAAAAGTCCGCCAGGGCGAGCTTTCACGGGCCCGCCAGGTGCTGACAGCGGCGGAGCTCGC